AACCCCAAACCCCAAACCCTCTAAACTTTGAACCCAGCAGCTGAACCCTGCGTTCCAGTTTGGTGCTTTGATGGGCCCTCGTGCGACGTCCGAGCGCGCCGCAGCATACCTTCAGGCGACAGGGCTGTGCCCAGAGATGGAAGTTTCAGACTTTCGGGGGATTTAGGCTCTGTGTTGGGTGCCTACCTATAGTCTCCATTGTNNTCCTTTCTGGGGATACCTTATAGAATCCTTAGTATATAATTGGTTAAACCAAAAAAAGGAACTACAATGGAGACTATAGGTATTTCCTGAAACTACGCTAGATTAACAGAGCCTGGGGCCCCTTAGAGAGTTGGGCACCTCAGTCCACCTACACGGCCTTTTGTCTAAACTTGCACGACTGAAGAATGACGGGGGGTTAAGGTTTAGGGTTTAGGGTTTAGGGTTTAGGGGCTGGTGTCCGCCACTCCTGGTCTTACAGGCCTTGCGAGGTGTCCTTGTAGAAGAAGAGTTGAACAAAACCCTCAACCCTGAACTCTAAACCCTCAACCCTGAGCCCTCGAGCCTAAACTCTCGGCCCTCGACCCTGGACCCTAAAGCCCAAATCCTAAACCCCAAACCCGACCCTCAACCCTAAACCCTAAAGCCCAAAGCCTTCATTTCATGGCTTAGGGATTAGGGCTCTGAACCCCGATCCCTAAACCCTTATAAACCCTTATATAAACCCTTATACAAGCCCTTATACAAACCCTTTTAAACCCTTATATAAACCTGATATAAACCTTATATAAACCCTTGTACAAACTCTTTATATAAACCCTTTTAAACCCTTATATACACCCTTATATAGACCCTTATTAAACCCTCAGCAAGAGCCTTCTCAACCCGAAACCCTCAACAAACCCTAAACCCTAAACCCTAAACCCTAAACCCTAAACCCTAAACCCTAAACCCTAAACCCTAAACCCTTGCCCCGGGCTTCAGGAGCCTCACCCGAGCGTTCCGAATCGGACCACGGGTTGGTGGGCCGAAGACCGTGAGGCGGCTTTGGGCTTGAGGGTTTATAGGGCTTAGGGCTTAGATTTTAGAGTTTGAGTTTAGGGAGCTTTGGGATTGGGGAGTTTAGGGTTTACGCTTGAAGAGAGTTCAAGAGGAGGAGAGAGCGAGAGAGAGAGAGAGAGAGACAGAGAGAGAGAGAGAGAGAGACAGAGAGAGATGGACAGAGGCCTGCGTGTAGATACCACGTATTTACAACACAAAGGAACATTATACTACTGCACATTGGTCGGTAGGTAGATTGGTAGATAGATCGATCGAGAAATCGACAGGTAGATCTGATTTCGACGCGTTCTGTAGATAAGTGTGTAGGTAGATAGGTCGATCGACAGATAGATGGACAGATAGACAGATAGACGAATAAGTAGATATGTAGTTAAACACATGAATCTCTTTCAGTCTTAGTCTTTCTTCCTTTATTTCTTTATGTCGTTGTTTCGTTCGTTCTTTCCTTCTTTCTCTCTCCCTCCCTCTGTATACATACACATACCTACATGTCACATGCCTATACACATAGACATTCATGCATCCGTGTATCCCTCGACCCATGCATGATTCCATGCGTCCCAGCGGGCTTAGGGTTTCAGGGGCAAGGGTCGGGTTCAGGCGCGTTGGGGTTTTACAGGCCTGTTAAAGTTCCTTCTCTGTCCTTGTACCAGTCCACATTCCGTAGTATCTGGATCCTTACTGCATGAGGGAGTGCCATGCCTTTTGTTCGCATCGAGTTTTGCTGTATCAGCCGCGTGAGACGATTTTAGGCCTGTATCCGGACTTGTGTCTTTTGAATGGGCCTTCCCGAACGTTCCACGTGGTCCCGTTTCCCAATTTTCAGACAACTTTGAGCGACGTGAAGCCTTAAACCGCAAACCCCCAACGCAGACTCGAAACCATGAGCCTTCGACCTTACTGCCCAAAGACGACACCCCAAACGCCAAAACAACTCGAAATCCCAAGCTTCAAAGCCCTGAACCGAAAGCGCCAGATACCATGGCATGCCATGTAAAACACTGAAGAAGCTAGACCCTGAGCCTCAAATACCTTTCAAAACCCTACCGAGCCCTATGGAGGTGCTATAAACCGCACATCTTCAAGCTCAAATATCACAGAACCCCCTTCTACCGTAGCATCCTGTCGTTTCTCCTTGCCAATAGATAATATAGGGGCCTTTATAGTTACCTATACTATTTTTGGGGGGTTCCTTCGTATATTTATCGTATAATCTACCCCAAAGCCTTGTTCTAAGTAGTAAGGCCCCTAGATTAGCATCCCCAAAGCCCTATTCTAGTCATTGCGGCCCCTGTTTTCGGCCTGAGCCCTGAGGACCTGAACCCTAAAACCCTAAACCCTAAACCCTAAACCCCTAAACCCTAAACAAGTTCTAAAGAAACTGTGTTTTTTAAGGTGTCGGATAGGTCGGGTCCAGGGAGCCCTCCGATGATCCGGGGCCATGACATCAC